TTTTTTTTTTTTTTTTGGTTGAATGCAGGAGGTGCTGCAATAACCTGTAAAAATGAGTTTGAAACAATAAATGAGGAAAACCTCAATATAGTTTCATCACAGCTAAGGCAGGCAATGATTTTGGGGCCGTGCCATGGTGTGGATTGGAGCAGAAGGCCTGGGTCATCAGAAATCCCGACCGTTGTTGATGACTTGGATGATCAATTGGATTTAGACTCCAAAAAGTTTATAGTTGTTCACGGTGCAGGTTGACATTTTACTTTGATACAACTGGGTTTAGTATTTGCCAGTGACTTGTTGATATTCGCCTCATAGCTTTTTCTATAGTTAAATGGGGTGAAGATGCGTGTGTCACACAAATCAGAATGACAAATATTGTGGACTTTCTTGAAGCTGTAGTGGAAAGAATATTTTTAGAGCCATAGCTAATTTGGAAGATTATACTATAATGCATAAGGACCTTTAAGAGCATGGGTATGTCAAATTGGATTTGAACTGGTTGTGCTCTCAATAATCTCTGTCTTTCAGTAACCAAGAGAACACTACTCCTTATGGAGTGTTGTGCTCTTATTAGGTCAAGAAGAGTACTTGTTAGTGTCAATACTGTTCTCATCAATTTCACGTAGAAGCTATATCCAGGAAAACAACTCAAATTTATGATATTCGCAATATAGCAGCCTGTCAAGGGCAATGACTGCCATTATCATAAAAATGTATGGTACAACTGCTCATGAGTATTACCTTCAGGTTCCTTTGGCCACTTTCAAGCTAGCAAGTCAGGGGTTCATAAGGGTGGATTGAGTAGGCCCCTAGTCAAGTCTGGTTTTGTAGCTACTCGTATATCTGTAAGACTTAGAAGAATTTCCACTCATGTCCTATGTGTTATATCTGATTGTTGTTATTCATTTATTTTAAACTAGATGTTGTGGTGATGAATCATCTAAACCTGGCATCAATATCTTAGGTCACATCCCTCAATCTTGAAATTGTCAGAGCTCTTGCCAAAGGTATGAACTACTCCATGCAATCAATTGGTGTCATGTGCTTTTGCCGAACCATTATAGATTTTTCTTTCTTCTGGTTGGCTTTCTAAGACCTTAATGTTTTGCATATCTACTTAATTTTTCGTTAGAAGTTGGCCTAGTAGGCTATTATAGCATCGAATAGGTGAAGCTAGAGTAATGTTCTGGTGAATATTTATAGTGCTAACTTCTTTCAGGGATTGATCAATCTTGAGTTTATTCCATGTTTCTCACTCAGATACAAACAAATTATATCAACCTTGCATTTTTGGAATCCAGCATACCCATTTTTATTTATTGGACCTGGTTTTCCTTCAACTTCCATTATTCATTAGTATGGAATATTGAAGACTTCACCAGCCCTTGTGATAGCATTTATGTACTTGAAGTTGTCATGTTTTTTACTGCCCAGATAAATGCTTATCTCTCCTTCAACTTTATGCAGTCTATACCATGATTATAATGTTATATTAATACTCTGAAAGATGGACAATTATGCAACACAGTGAAGTCATAATTATATAGGTATAGTGATAGATAATACCTGTATGTATACCTTGTGGAGATGCTTTTTTTTCTTAATGATTTTCTAGAACTAGATATGAGAATGCCTTGATGCCTTTTGTACCATTGTGCATTTGTTTGACAGATTTATTTATGTTCTACAGAGGGCATTCCATCTGTTGGACTTTCCCCATTTTCATGTGGCTGGTCGACTTGTGAAAGAAATGTTAGTACTTACCCAGAGTACTATATATCAAATTCTTAATCTTGTTCTCTCGAGTATCTGGGGCCTGTTGTCTATTGTGGATAATTTTTCGTGTCAAATGTTTTTAGAAAATGCTGTTCTGTCCTTCCAGATAGCTATGGCAGATACCACGACAGTGGGCGATGCTATCGATGCTGGGTTTGTACCTGTAAGTTCTAATCCTTAACCAGAAGTATATAATGTTGGCTCTGAGGCATATTCTTTCAGTGCCTACTTCAAAATGATCCATTACTGTTTCTTTCTTTATTCTTTCTCCTTTCTTGGAAACTTCATATCTTTTTCATCATTGATGATAGATTTTAATATAGTGAAAACGGATGGATCATTAAAATCATGTAGATTAATGTGATTTGACAACTCTGACTTGTTATAAGCAAAAGAAATGTGCAGCAGCATTCTGATATTTTGTATGGTCTTGCCATCCTGATATGCAATGAATTGAAAAATTAATGGTTTCTTATATAAATATTCGAGGTGTTGCATGGGGATGCGGTACTGGATAGCTTACAGGTTTGACACTTCTGTGTATAATGCTCTTAATTTTCCTAGATTTTCGGATGCGGAAGACATTTCATTTGAATACTTGACAGGGTTGCACCATATTAAGCGGAGATGTAATCATACGTCACCTGGCAGAAAAATTACGGCCAACCTACGTTGTTTTTCTTGTATCCTTTTTTCACCCTAGGGAAATAATTATCCAAGGGCTGACTTGATTTAGTAAACGTTTCTCCTTCTCTGAGGCATTCTGTTCAACCAAACACTTTCATCATTTAATTGAGTTTCTGCATGTTTACACATTAAATTTTGTTCCAGATTAGTTAGAACAGAAAATATCTTGTGTATGTTCGTTTCTCCTATACCATCAATTTCAGACAGATGTTTTTGGAGTGTATGACCGTCCTCCAACAGAACCTGGTGCCACACTCCTTAAGGAAATTGGTGAGTACCTATCTGATCACACCATGTGGCCACTCGTTTTGAATATGGTAATGCTTGACCTGAAACACCCACAGCTGTGCGTGAAGACGGTTCCTGGTCTGTGTTGAAGCCTGAATTGCAAGACATGAGCAGGCAAGGTCAGTGTAAATATAAGGTTACGCTTTTCATCAGGGTTTATGTGATTACATCTTTGACTTTTGTAATTCCTAAGTATGTTTACATTACAATAAATGCGCATTTCTGTGTAATTTCTCTAAATAGGACCTCATTGTAAAGTCATGGAATTTCAGAAGGAATAGTCACAACCACACCTTTGAATATTCAGCCTAATTAAATTGGACTTCTATTTATTTCAAGAGTACAAGCCTCCCCTGAGCTTGTAAATACTCCCCTCTGAAAGATACATATAAATTGCAAGACAATACAACATTAGGCTTTTTTTTCTTGGTTAATATACCATCTCCTAATGTAGTCTGTGGCGAAAGCAAATGGTTCTTCATCCAGCTTTTATAATGTAGATGTGTATACTTGAAGCATGGAAATATGAAATCCTATGTGCATGACCACTTTCTTACTCCAATCCTCTGAAATGGGCCACTTGAAAATATTTCACCACTTTGTCATTTTTACATGGACTTGCTGATTGTCTAAACTGTTACTACCCAGCCATGGTTGTTAAGGACCCTTGGAACTCTATGTCCTTCCAAGTTCTTCATGAAGCAAAACACATTCTCTAATCTTTCCACCTATTGTTGACAGTCGAGATAACTGTAGCTGCTCACGACACGACCGGTGGCATGGTCACCAAAATTTCAGAAGCTGCTATGATAGCTAAATTGGGTATTGATGTCTACATTGTGAAGGTAATTTGGTTGCAAGTTCCGAATCACCAAAATTTCAGAAGCTGCTATGATAGCTAAATTGTCTTGTTGCACGGGCTAATTGCAAAAGATATGATAGGTTTGTTTAGGTTAAACACAGAGGATTGTCAGCTTTCATAATTGTGATAGATAATTACATTTACTATATAACCTTGGAGATTTGGAAATTTACAAATATACACAGGCACACACAGCTATTGAAAATGATAGAAATCAACTTTGAGGTCACACATTTACATTTTATACCCTCCGTTACTAATTAATTTCTTGTGTCATTAAGCTGAATTCCTTAATTTATTGCTAACCTAGATTTCTACATTGACGCCCCTCAGTATGCTCGATACCTACAGTTTAGCCAAACTGTATGTAGTAGAACTAGACCTCCAGGATGTTTTTTTTTTGTTTTTTTTTTTTTTTTTTTTTATTTCCAAAGTTGTTTGGCTATTTTTAAATACCAAAACCTCGGGAACGTTTTTGTAATTATCCCAAAGTATCTGAAGACAAACTTATCTCTCTTCCCTTTCCAGTTTTGTTTCTTTTAAAGCTATATACCTTTTTGGTAACCTATGCAATGAAACCAATAAACTTGTAATGCTTATGTTGAAACTATGCAGGCAGCAACAAACCACTCAGAGAGGGCTCTGAAAGGACTGCTTAAAGAAGGAGTACCTGACGACTGGCTTGGAACAATCATTCGACTAGCCAAGTAGTATAATTAACAAATGCTCCCTATGCCATTGAGTAACCAAAGTACAACATTTGAAGTTTGGACTAAACCAGCTGTTGGGTTTTGTCCTAAGAATCACATAAATTGTGGTGGTTTTGTTGTGTCCCATTAATTTGAATCGACAATTGTGGCATTGTCGAATGTTGCAACATGACTTCGGAACGGTAAATCTTGAAGCATAAATTGCATGTGGATTTTGAGATTTTCTTTCTTTTTTTTTTCTTTGTAAAAAACACATCAGACCTGAATTGATCAATCTTCTGATGACAAGGTACAACCCATATTAAATTTGTGCTTTTAAGTTCATTTGTTTTAAGTGAACGCTCATAGTTTTCACAAATCTTCAAAACAAAGTATATCAGTATCAATATAGCTATGTTAACTCAGCACCCAAAATAGAGAGAGAAATGTTATAACATTGTACGTAGGGGTGTACATAATACTCACATTTAGTGAGACCTACCAAAAATAAAATCAAGTAGACTCCACTCTATATGAGCGCTATGTACATCTCTATATACATTTATTATGTACTCGTAGTCTTTTCCAAATAGAAAGACACATACAAGTACAACTCGAGCATTGTCCATTATTTTGTTATGTGTCCATTAGTTTGTCATGTTTTAAAAGAAAGGTACCATCCATAATACAAAAGCTAGCTTCTTTCATGCAAGAATCGAACTATCATATAAAAAAATGAAAAGTGAGGATCATCAATCATTATTTCCCTCAAAGAGGCGAAAAAATGTCATCACATCATAGGCACAACTCCGCACGCCAAATCAATTCTATCCCCACACCACAACGGAACATGCTGACAATCCCAGTAAAACATTAAAACAAAAACAAAAGAGAAAAACAAAATGAATTAAAAACACAACATGGATCCACGTAACAGACAGATGTCTTGTAATTTGTCGAGGGCGTTAACCATCGATACTTCAGTCTGTCTGGGAGACTAATAAAAATATGGATGGTCAAGGGCCCCTCCCATCGTTTACGAATCTATAAATAGCATGTCTGGCACAAACAAAACTTGAAAACAACCGAGGAAACACACAGTTTAGGACTTGGGACCAATATCCTTGAGACCACATATCTGTTCCTCTCCCATAGCAGACATAACACTCACAACAAGGTCTTTTCCCTCAGCAAATCCATCCTTAATCTGCACATTTCATTAAACCAATCATATTTATCACCCACAATGGCATGCTCTCAAGGAAATGAAATTACGAACGTGCGTACTGAGCTAAATCATTTATTTTTTTCTTTTCAAAATAAAATCTTCTACTAACTACCCAAAAATTTGGACAACATCCCCGCATCAAGCAATTACTATGACCATAGCGTGTGATTTTATCCAAACCCTTCAACTAACATTTTAAACAAGATCTTAAAGTCTCTAAAAAGAAGTTCATAAAATCACTGAGGACTCCAAAATAAAGCACAGGTTGAAGAATATGGTCACCTGTGCCAGGAGATTCTCATCAGTTGGAAGCCTGAGGTCATCCTTAGTGTTACCATTCTCAGTAAGCAAGCTCACCTACAACAATTATTTCAGTAAGGGTTATTATCAATGAGCAAATTGAAATTATAAACATTTGATATATTTAAATAAGGCCACATACAAATCCATCCTCAGAGATGTCAATGAGCTGGTAGTCAGTGCGATTCACATGTGGAACCTAAAATTCAAGGGTCATAATGTAAGGAGTTAGTTGCAATACAATTAAGGTTAAACATCATTAACATATAAAAGAAAAAGGTAACGAATGGCTGTACATCACAGTTATGGGAAGAGGGAACAATATCTTCAAACTTCTTGGCCGTGAAGATGTCAATCGCCACAAAGTGACACTTCGCATGTCCGTGCTTTCCAGTTTTGGAAGTCGAAACTTCCACAACCTGAAACACGGTGAACAACCATGTTCATGATAGTGACAAAAAATTTCGGCACATTAGTAATCTACAATCAAATCAGACAATGGAGATAGCACCTTCAAGTCTGAAACTGGTTCTATCTAAAATTTTCAAAGTAACATACATGAATAGAGCACATAAACTAAATCACAATACATCGAACTGTATTGAAACAAATGAACATCAAGTTTTATCTATTCCACTCAGTGGTATTGATGGCGAAAAGTGGCGACAGGTTGAAATCAGCCATAACTGCTGCCCTTCAGAAATTTGTAATGGCGATTCGGCAGAAATCACCATTCTGTTATGACGCCGCCATAGATAAATTAGATTAGCAAACACACACACACACACACACACATAAAAAAAAAAATCTGACTAGCCTAATTAAAGAGCAAAGTTTTATCATAAACAGCTAATTCTCCTGCACAGATTCAAATCAAATCCACCGACAACAGGAAACCAACACAACCACCGTAAACCTAAAATCAAATTCCGCACACAATCGGAAAAAAAAAGGCCTAATCACTCAAAACTTCATGCAAAAACAGCAACACCAATTCAATCACGGATTAAATGAAACTGAAATCGAACTCCATGGAGTCTACACTTACAACTTCACCAACGAAATAAATAAATTAAAAAAAAA